CCGGGCCTAAAAAAAATTTTTAACCCTAATTGCGGGCCGGGCCGGGCCTCAAAAATAGGCAATTTGCAGGCCCCTAAACTACAATTATAAAATTTATTTATTATATGATTAGTTTAAAAATTGTTCTTCTACTTTATATACTAGTTCATATCTTGGTTTAAAATATCTTCCATATAAACATTATAAATAAATTCCATATTTAAATAGTTTTGTAATTTTACCATTTTTATTTAAGATTGGTACATATTTCTTTTTCTTTGGATTCCAAGTAACAAGCGTATCTAAAATCATTTCTGGTGGTACATATAGTTCTGAATCTTTATTTTTAAGTGTTCTTGATCTTCTTTTAGATTTTCCTGTTCTTTGTTTATTTTTTATGCTTTTTTTAGAAGTTAGATTTTTATAATGAATGGATTGTTTTGTATATGCAGAATCAGATGATAAAAAAAATAATACAAATAAAAAAAGAACAAAGAAAATAGTATCTTGCATATTTATTGTTTTAAACTTAAATATATTTTATTTATATTTATAAAAAATAAAATTATTACAAACTTTATTTATAGTTTTATAAAATTTAAAAACAATTGAAAAGATAAGAGATAAAATAATTACTATTAGTGATTTCTATTTTGTAAGAATCTAAATCTAAAGGAATGTCTTCATATTGTTCAATGTATGCATCATTATAAATCAAAATTTTTTCAATGTTATCATTATAAATATTTGTTTGTTTAATAAAATTCTCAATGATAGTTTCATTGATTACATCATTATAACTGATAATTACTTTTTTTTTCATCAATTGTAAATAATATAAGCTTATTATTATCAAAATATTCACAGTATCTTAAGGCATATGTTTGCATAATGAAGAAGAAAAAAAGAATGTAGATAAAAGATTTCATGATGTTTTTAGTATAGTTTATTTTAGATTTGCTTATATAATTCTTGTTAACAAAATATAAATATTTGTGTTATACATATTTTTTTTTTTAATTTTTTTTAAAAAAATGAACAAGTAAGAATGGTTCTTATATATTTATTTTTTTATATTGTTTATTTATATTTATTTATTTTTTATTAGTGAATAATGAACTTCTCAAAAGAATGCAACATATTATTCTGAAGTAAAAAATACAATACCTGTGTATTGTAAGGCTTGTTGCTCCACAAATTATTATTATTATTTTTTTTTTTTAACTTAAGCAGTCATGCTAGTACTTTATTAAGGTTCTTGAAATTACTTTTGCAATTACATAGATTTTTCTAACAACTAAGTCTAGCATTACCCAGCTATCTATAGAGTACCTAAGTGCAACCTGCCACACTACTTCTAACAGAAGTAGGCTACTTGTCTGACCACTTAAAGTCCATAGTGAAAGGGTCTTCTCCCTTCCACAACAAGTTCCAACATTGTCTTCCTAGTTTCTTTATTAATTCTATCTTTTTTCTCTTTTGCTTGCTTCTTTTCTTTCTTAATCTTTTACTGATTTGCCTTTTCTTTCTTTTTTGAATTTTCCTTTCTAACTTCTTTTTTCTTCATTTTGGTTGTTATGCCTTTTTTCTTCTTCTATTTATTGATCTTTTCGTACTATATCCTCCAGACTTGTTTATAAAATGTGTTCCATGTTGTTTTTGCTACTGTTTCTACAAACTTCTGTTTTGTCTTTGTATTTAGAAGCTGTGTTAGACTGTCTTGTGTCTTTTTTGGGATTAGGCCTTTGATTAATGCTTCTCTCATCTTTATCTCTTTTGCTTTAGTTTCCCCAAAGAGTGCTGTATATAGTATATGTGATAGAATGTAAATTTTTTCTTTTTCCTTCAACCCTTTTCAGGCTGTTGCAATAGTTACTTTTTGGATTCGTTTCTACAGACTCTGCTGTCCTTTGCATGATGCTAGATGTGACTGTGTTTCTTTACTTTATTTTGACATACTTGGCACTCTGTTGTTGTATATACATCTGGTCATCTTCTATTAAGTTCTTCTAGGGTCAGAAGTTTATCTATCATGCACTTTATAAATACACATCTTCTTGTACTAATTCTTCTTGTTATGCAATGCACTTTTTTAGTCATCTTTAGCCTTTTCCAAAAATGTGTTCAGTCATAGATCATGACTTCTGTTTTCAGTTCTAACTTTTTAATTGCATTTGTTTCTTTCCATTCTGCTTCTAATCTTGCATTTGTTATTAATTTGCATAACAATCTTGCTGGTATGTCAGTTCGTTTGTTTTCTCACTCTAGAAGTACTCTATTTTTTCACAACTAACTTTCTCTACTTGTATTACTTTCTCACTTATTGTTCTCTTCTTTGCAAGGTTATAAGCTTTGTCATTCTATTTGTCTTTGCTATGGCTTTTAACTTTTACTAACTCTATCTGTATATTCTTTGTATTGATAAGATCTATAATCTTTATTATCCATATCGCATTTTTCTTCTTAAAAATTTTTATTCTATCTATTTGCTCTAAACCTCTGCTAATGTTTCTAATTGCAGTGTTACTGTCTGTGTATATTTCTATTTGTTTTCTTCTTAGTATTGTTAAAATTGCTGTCCATATTGTTACTAATTTTGCTATTGTCGATGTTATTCATCCTTCTAAATCTAATAATGTTTCTTCTTCTGGCCACTCTTGCGTTTCATTTGTTTGGACCCATCCTATCCCCATACTGCTGCCTTGTACTTCTTCTTTGGTCTTTGTGTTTGTAGCACCATCTGTATATATAATGTATTTGTCTTTGTTTCTTGATAGGTTTCCTCTTAGCATCTTTAAAATTTCTTATTTGACACTCTCATTAAATTTCTGTTTCTTAATTATTTCTATTTCTAACCTCTCAACCATCCTTAGACCTTCAAGCTTCTGCTCACTGTCTCTTAAACTTTCTGTTTTGGCTTTTTTCATCAATTGGTCCAACACTATCTTGATCTTGCTGTTCTTCTTTTCCATCGATATATCAGGGATTACTTTAATTTTGTTGCTTATTCTTATCCATTGCTGGCAATTGTCTTCTTTCTGTCCTTCTTCTTCTGTGCATCTATTACATTTGCTAATTTCTGTTGCTATTTCATTTTTCATGCCTTGCATTTGCCAATGCTCTACTAGACCTTTTTCTTTTTCTTCTTTATTATCTTTTCTAATTGTTTATCTTCTTGTGTACTATATATTATCTATTCTTTTCTTCTTTTGTCTTTTGACATAATCCTTCATACCATTTTCATTGCTTGGATATTGTGTCTGTTTGTCTTAAAATGTTCTTTGATTCTCTTATTTGTTGGCTCTTCAAGCATTTTGGACTCTATTTCTTTAAACCATTCTGCTTTTTTTTCTTTACTTGACTATCCATAAAAGTTTTTAAATTGTTGCTATGTAATCAGCTTCTCACCTTTTATGTCGATTAGTTGGTTTAGGTAGATTAAACCTGTTTCATTTATCTCTATTTCGCTTTTTTTCTACAGCTGTGTTTCTAATAGTTCTCATATTTTTATACTATATTCAAATATTTTCTATAAGTTATTTTCTGTTCTTATATTTATTTCTAACTCTTTTGCTTTTATTACTGTTAACATGCTAAGTTGTTCTTCTACTATACTTTGTTATCTAGTATCGCTTTCAATTTCCAAACATCTTTTGTCAAACCTGCTTTTTGACAGCCTTGTGTTATTCTTAGCTTTGTTAACTGTTCTAGGCTGTCTTGTCTGTTCAATCTTGACAGTAGGCCACTCACTTGCTTCATTATTAGCTCTTGTTGAAGTGTTCTACATTCATCCAAATCCTTATATTCTATTATGCAATTTTCTACTGTTCTTTGCAAATTGCTTTTTTACTTTGCTAAACATATTATTAGTTAATATATTTTATGTATTCTCTTTTCTGAGATTTTAGTTAGTTGGAGCATATAGCTTAGTTTTGGGATTATTATTATGTTGTTTATATATGTGATCTGGCTTGCTGTCATCTTTTTGTATTTGAGATCTTTTATCATTTGACTGACTATTCCTTTAGCTTTTTTTTTAACTAACATTTCTCGCATTCTGTTGTTTAGCCAAATTCCAAGTGATCGAACAATTTTGTTTCTTGGCTTTTCTCTTATATTGCTTTTACTGAAGGCTATTTTTTTTTCTTCTTTTTTAACTTTTGTGTGCATCACTAGCAGCTTTGATTTTGATCTGTTAATCTCTATATCATTTATCTTGAAGAACTCTTCAGCTACTTCTAGGATCTTTAATAACTGGTCTTTGCTGTTTGCAATTCATGTTGTGTCATCTGCATATGCAATTGCTGCTTGACAAAATTTTGCGACATTATTGCATTGTGTCCCTTCTTTAATTTGTTGCTCAACTGTATATTCTAAACTTTCATCTTCTTGTATTCTCTCTATCAATGGATTATAGAAGAGGCTCTATATTAATGGTGATATTACTTTACCTTAATCTATTCCGTCTCCTGCTGTTACTTTCTCTGTTAAGTCGTAAGCTGTAATTATTCTTAGTTGTCTTTTGTGAAAAAGATTTAAAATGTATTTTATTATTCTTCTAAAGATTTTGACTCTTTGCAATGCCATTTCAAGACTTTTGAGAGGAACTGAATTGAATGCCTTCTTTATATCTTGTAGCAGTATCCATACTTCTTTATTTTTTTTCTTTTGCTTCTTCCATTATCATATTAAGGATATGCACTAGCTGCTCTGTTGAATTTCCTAGTAGGCCTGCATAGTTCAGTTCTTTAAGCACTTCTCTTTTCATAAACACCTTGGCAAGCCTTTTTGTTATTAATTTTATTACTTTTCTAAATGTTTCGATCAGAGCTATTGGGTGGATATTGTTTAAGCTGTATTTTTATTCTTCATCTTTTGGTATTGGATAAACTTGTGCAATTTTTCATTTGATTGATATCTCTCCTCTTTCTAAACAGAGATCTGCAAAAGCTCTAAAGACTTTTTGTATTTTCTTTTCTGCTTACTTAATCAGTATATAGCTTATATTAGATATGTCTGAAGCTGTTTCTATTTTAAGTTCTCTTAGTACTTCTTCCTATTCCTTTTCTTTGATGCTGTTCTCTAATTCTATATACTATTCTTCTTTAATGTGTTCCTATAACTTGTAAACTTCTTTTCACCTTTCTGACATTTCTTCTAGTTGTATCTTTTATTTTAAATTGTTTTTTGTAATGTTCTGTTATACCAGTCTTAACTAACTCTGATTCTACTATTAGATTCATCAGCTCTTCTTTTTGTTTAATAATTCTGTCAAGTATTATTTTCTTGTAGGGTTTGTTTAACAGGCTGGCTATCATTTTCTCTTGATCTGTTTTAATCATTTCACATTTTTTGTCTATGTTTTCTTCTATTTGTCTTCTTTGATCTTGTTCCTATTCTTTTCTTTTCTTCTTTTGTAACAGTTTCTGCCAGCCTTTTATGTCTTCTATCTAGGCACTTAACCATTGCCTGTGTAGTTTAGACAGTCTTGCACCTTCTTTTTCTCCTATTATTCATAGTTTCTCATTTATTTCTGTTCTTTTCTTTTTTGTTACTTCTTGACCTTCTCTTGTTTTTGCCTATTTAATTAATCTTTGCAGCTCTATAATGTTCTTCTTTTGGTATCACTTCTTTGGGTCATTTCTTCTATTTGTCAATGTATTGTAAATCTTCTTCTTTGGCAGATGCTTACTAGCTGCTGTAATGATTGCTTCTTCTAATATGTCACATATGCTGTTTATATTCTTTGTTTCTTTCCTTTGAATGTTTTTTAGTACCTTTTTCACTTCTAATTGTTTTT